ATTATTATTATTATTATTATTATTATTATATATTATTATTATTATTATTATTATTATTATTATTATTATTATTATTATTATTATTTTGTTATTATTATTATTTTTTGTTGTTGTTCAGAGCCACACGTGGAGCAACAGCAGCAGAATATGAAGCTAATATGAAGAAAATTTATAGCGTATCTACTGTCCAGAGTTTTTGGTCGGTTTATAACCATATTCCCGATGTTTCGGAAATATCCCTCCGTTACTCCTACCATCTGATGCGTGGTGACCGTCGTCCCATGTGGGAAGATGAGGGTAATCAGAATGGCGGGACGTGGAGAATTAAGGTCGCAAAACGAGATACGGTAAGTAAGAAAGTTTCCTTTGATGATAAGTGATATGAGTTGTCTGTAGTAGAAGTAAAAATGTATTGATAATGAGAGATAATGAAATATTGTTAAATGGATAGACTATGATAAGTAGTAGATCTCCATAGAGAATTCTAACACATAGTTTCTGTTTTTTTATAGTCGCGAGTTTGGAAGGAGCTCTTGTTAGCAGCTATTGGGGAGCAGTTCGAGGGACACCTTGCTCCAGGTGATGAAGTGTGTGGAATCTCAGTGTCAGTTCGAGACCGCGATGATCTGTTGCAAATCTGGAATTACGAAAGCTCCTTGACAAGCCAGGCAACAGTCATGAAGAAAGTGCATAGCTTGGTTCCCGACGTGGTTTTCAGTGCAGAGTTCTATAAGCGTAAGTGTTGTCTGCCTTGTTTAGGTTGGTCGGGGAATATGTGTATATTTTATTTTGCTGTTTACTGACATTCATGAAATTTAGTATAGCTAGGTGATAAAAGTTTAACCTGAAGATCAAATTGTATGATAAGAGTTCTTAATTTGTCCTGCTTTTGTCTCACCCCTTTTATTTTATGTTGCAGCTCATCAGACCCACCACGCGTACGAGGGAGAAAAATCACAGTTAAACAGCATGATGATAACTTCATGAAGCTGGCAAATTATAGACCATGTTCTGCTCACATAATAACTTTTAAACTATTAGTAGTTAGCTTTTGAGTTTTCAGCTGCTCATAAAACAGTAATTCATTTATATACATTATTAATGAGATGGGTGTTTGGGGGAAAAGTGAAGTTGTGGAAGTGACAGTAATTTAATGATTGAAGGAGTTGTCAGACTGTGGCAAGATGTCAGGTCTTCTTTATAACCAGTTTTAATGATAGATATGGTCTGATATTTCAAACCTAGAGTAGTTTTTAGATTTTCAAACTTTGTAAGTGAATTGATAGAGTTTATGATATCTTCCAAGTGAATGATTTGACTGCTCTTTGATGAGATGATGATGCACACTCAAAAGACATTATATTTAATATATTCAAGGCTGTATAAAGGGAATGAAGAATTTCTCGTACCTTGGGTGTAGTGTTTGATATTATGGTGCATGTTGTCTTTGCTCTGAAGGGTCAGTATTTATGTTGAATAGGTGAAGCATCATCACATCCAGGGATTGAATCATGTTAATCAAAAAACTATGCAAAGAAGCCATTTAATGCATAAAAGTTTACTATAGAGTAAGAGGAAAATACAATTCACCTTTCAGAAATTATAGTCATTTAACTACACTGAACACAGCACTGAACTAGTGCGACATTAAAACATTTTTTCTGTGATATTGAGTAAAAAAAAAAACAAATGAAAGGAACAAGGCAGTTAGGAGATTTATATTAAGACTATTTTATTCTTACATACGAATACACTGGTAAAAACATAAAGTCAACATATATTTTTTAACATACAGCTCAATTCTAATGTTGCATAAAACTTGTTTAGCTAGTGTATATGGTGTAAAGTTAGATTTGATATTAGATTGCAAAGAAGTTCTTGATCGATTCTTGTGTTCAACTGGCCTAAGGGATCAGACGTGACAGGGAGCAGCAAGTTGACGCTGATAGTTTCTTTAGACAATAAGAGAAAAAATATATACGTTGAGTGGGCTAGAAGCAAGAAGGTGAATTATTAAGTATTACCTTTTAGTATTACTTGGAGAATGGTTGTGCAGAGGAAAACATTTAAGAGGAAAACATTTAATGTGCATGTTGAAAAGTTGAATATGAGCTTGTATGCAAGAGGGATAGATCAGCCCATTTTATATTAGATCTTCTTCTACTTCTTCTTCCAATCTAATGGATTTTAATTTTACAGCAAGCGAATGAAGGAATATTAACCCCACCCCATTTGACAAGAAAACCTGCCATGCCTACAGTTACATACGTACATTTATTGTCCTTACACATAGATGGCTCCACAAGTACATAATCACCAAGGAGTCCGCTATTAGTCCTGTCTGTCTCACATGTTTACCTTTTTCCTTGAATTTTGGAAAATTTCTTTTATACCATTTTATTGTCTAATGCCATTGATATTTTAATAACAGTTTGATAATCATAATGTGAGTGAGAATAATTACAGTATCAACATACATAGTGTTAGAAGGGAAAGCACA